GCCTGCCCTGGCCCAGCCTGAGGCCGCTCCCTCTGCTCCTGTCCCTGTTCCCTGCGAGCAGAGCCCGACCCCCCCGGCTGTGCCCTCCTGGCAGGGCCTTGTGCAGAGCCACGAGGGCCCCTGAGCCTCCTTTGCTCCAGTGTTCCTATTACCATCATTTTATTTAATTCTTTCTGTAATCTCCATTCTACTCTTCTCTCTTTCTGACAGCATCCTGGGGACTCCCTGCCCCTGGAGATCTGGGCAAGGTACAGAAGGCAAATGTCTCATCTGACGTCCAGCAGCGTCTCAGATAGAGAGATATTATTTATATCTAAATAAAACCCTTTTTAAGCATCAGCATCTCCCTCCCTGCAGCTTGAGCCCAGAAGGTTTCAGGGACAGTGGGCTGGAGACACCTCCCTGCTCCTCTGCCTCCATTTCCCATCAGAATGGGATGTGGGCTCCTGCTTGCTTGGGTTTGTTTGGTTCTGCTTCCATCTGTGCTTTGTTAACATTCACAATTAACGCTTTGACCTGTCCTTTGTTAACAGCCATAATTCACACTTCAGGGCTGTTTCGCAAGAAGGAATTTCATAACTCCCACTCAGTGTCCTTGTGACTGTGAGGGAAAGCAAAAGGAGCAGCTTTGAGCAAAGCAGCAGCAGGAATTGATTCTTCCTGGATAATTCTGGGGATCAGTGGCCAGACATGGCCAGGACAGGGTCCTGCAGCTGGCCCAGCTCCCTGAGCTGAGCTCAAGGTCTGAGCTCACATCTCATGGTCCCAGCTCAGGTTTTCAAGCTCAGTCCAGTTCTGGACATTTAAAAAATGAGTTTAACTCATTTAACTCATTAACTAACTCTTTAGTTTAACTCTTCTGTCTGGAAAAAGTCTTTACTTTTCTCTCACACAGTCACACAGGTAAAGCAAATTCTGCACTGTGCAGGACAAGGATCAGTGCTCTGTCCCTGAATGAGAAGGCACTAAAACCCTTTATTTGCACAAGGTTCTGCACTAGAGGAAGTTCTGTTCTGTCCTCTACAGAGACTGCTCCAAAGCCATCCCTTGGAGTGAGAGATTCTGTCCCCTCCTGACAGCTGCCCACAGCACAGGCACTTCCATCTCTGGGCCCTGAGTGGAGACAAACAAAACCAATCCACCTGACTGGCTTCACCTGACAGCTCCAAAACCACAGCAAGGCCTCTCAGGAGCGCCTGCTTTGCTCTACTGATTCTAAAGAGAGGTTTGAAAAGAAGTCCAGGTGTGAAATGTTGCTGGCACACCCAGGGGAACACAAAAGTCACCAAAGAGCAGTGAAAGCTGCAAGGCAGAGGCTGAGCAGGCTGTCCCTGTTTTGGGTAGGTTTAGGTAACCCTGGCCCAAAGCAGAGCAAGCAGCAGCTGCTCTGTGTGCTCAGGACTCCTGGAAAATACAGGAGGAGAGAAAAGGAACAGCTGGGCAGGGAGAGCAGGCCCTGAAGGTGTCCCCAGCCCCTCAGAGAGCTGGAAAACTAAAAGATGAGCAGAGTGGAGACACTGTGAACATTCTGAGCAAGCACAGCCTGGATCTGCCTGTGGAACACCCACCATGGACTCAGGGCAGCTCCTGGGACTGGCCAGGGCTTCTTACCCAGAACTGCAAAATGCTGCCCAGCTTGGTGCTTTTACTGCAAAATGCTGCCCAGCTTGGTGGTTTTACTGCAAAATGCTGCCCACCTTGGAGGTTTTACTGCAAAATGCTGCCCAGCTTGGTGGTTTTACAAAGACCCAGAGCAGTTCCTCTGTCAGGGGAAGGAATCTCAGTGGCTGGGTGCTTACCTCTGCCAGCCCCTCCTGCGTGCAGAGGCACAAAGCCTTCAAAGCCTTTTAAAAGATATTTGCTAAGAAATCAAAGACTGCCAGACCTGTGTTTGCCCTTGGCTTCCTTCAGGCTCTGCAGAGGTGCACTGCCTTTCCCTCTCATCCTTTTCCTTACAAGATGGGAAGGGTTTCATTTCACAGAACCCCAGGATGGCAGGGTTGGAAGGGGACCTTGAACATCACTGTGTTGGATCTGGTGGCCTCTCTTTTTCCTGGTGACAACCTCTGCCATGCCCTGGTGTCCATGCACAGCCCCCAGCCGTGCTCACCTTCCCATTTCTTGACAAAAGGCCCCGAGAGGATGCGCATGAAGCCGGCCAGGCAGATCAGCTCCACCGAGAACTCCTCCAGGACCTTGTCCACGGCGCTGTCGAACTCAGTGCGGCTCTGGTACCTCGTGTGCTCCACCACCTGGCACCAAGCACAGAACAGGGATGTGCTGGGAATTCCAGAGGAAGAACAGCCCCTCAGTGCCCAGCTGACAGACACANCTCTGAACACAGAGGGCAGGAGATCAAACACAAGGGTTTGGGGTGCTCCCAGCAGGCTCTGAGGTGAGAATGTTCAAAGGGGAGGATTGCAGAGGAGCAGGAGGTGCAGATGTGCAAAGGAGAGGATTTCAGAGAACCAGGGAGGTGCAGATGTGCAAAGTGAAGGATTTCAGAGGGGCAGGAGGTGCAGATGTGCAAAGGGGAGGATGCAGAGAGCCAGGGAGGTGCAGATGTTCACAGGGGAGGATACAGAGATGCAGATGTTCACAGGGGAGGATGCAGAGGGGCAGGAGATGCAGATGTTCACAGGGGAGCATGCAGAGGTGCAGATATTCACAGGGGAGGATACTGAGATGCAGATGTTCACAGGGGAGCATGCAGTGGGGCAGGAGGTGCAGCAGATGTTGAAAGGGGAGGATACAGAGGTGTAGATGTTCACAGGGCAGCATGCAGGGCAGCAGGTGCAGTAGATGTTCACAGGGGAGGATGCAGAGGGGCAGATGTTCACAGGGCAGCACGCAGGGCAGCAGGGGTACTCACAGCCACGAAGTGCACGGTGCAGCCCGTGACCCTGACCCCGGCCTGCAGCACCAGCTTGTGCGCGTGCGCTCCCTTGAAGGACGGCAGCAGGGACGGGTGGATGTTCAGGATTTTCCCTGCGAAAGCAGAGCTGAGGTTATTGGCTTTCAGCACTTTTAGGCTGCTCAAAGGGCCACAACGAACAGAGGAACAAAATCTTTGGTGAAAAGGATTTTTCACAAGTTTTGAAGATGCCAGCAGCCGGCCAGCCCCAGGTGCTGCGGTGTCTGTGTCTGAATTAGCAGAGTGCAGTTACAATGAATGGCTGAACACGCCCCCAGGGATTAATAATGCTAATTGGCTGATGTAGCTGTCCCTTCCCTCAGCACCTTGTCCTTCTTTGATCCCAAATCCCTGGGGCTGGCACAGCCCTGCCAGCCCATGCAGTGCCAGCTGTGCCCACCTTGTGCCCAGCACAGAGCACTCAGTGCCACCTCCAGGGCACACCTGCAGGGATGGGCAGTGCAAAGCTCCCTGGGCAGCCCCTGCCAAGGCCTGAGCTCCCTTTCCATGGGCAAATTGCTGCT